CAACCCTCAGTGTCACGCCCGTACCAGACCGGGACCGGCAATGGGATCGCAAACCTCGGTGCTGCGCCCGCACCTCGCTCAGCCAGTGAGCGGGAACTGGTCTGTACGTGGGATCCGAACCCTCGGCGGGAGCGCCACCATGCTCCCAAGCGGCGCACTGTAGCAGTGCGCCACCGGGCCGGCCACGTGTACTCCTTTCTTAACTTGCCTTTAAGCATTCATATTTTTACCTATAATTTTCACATATTATAATCATTTTTTCCAGGTTGTTGAAAATAATAATCTCCAAAGGAAACTGTGGACATTGGGTGATAATGATGTGTCAGTATAGTTTCATTGTTTGTCACATAGGTACTACTCTGGTGTGTGATGTTGATAGTGGGGGAGGTTGTGCAGTGTAGAGGAGGGGGTGTGTAGGAATTCTGTACTTTTCACTCAATTTGCTACCAACCTAAAAATACTCTTAAAAACGTCTGATTAAAAAAATTTCAATGGTTACCTGATTGTCCATTGAGAGACTGTACCTTAATTTAATAAACCATCTCCTTATTGGACTTTTCCCCCAGTTTTCACTCTTGTGAATAATGATACAGTGAAGATGTCTTAGATCTAGTTTTTCTCTTTAGGAATTTCTTTTCTTTTTTTTGTTGTTTTTCTTAGTAGCTGGCTGGTGCAGGGGTCGAACCTTCCTTGGACCTTGGTGTTATCAGCACCATGCTCTAACAAACTGGGCTAACTGGCCAGCCTCAAATTCATTTTCAAAATTCTGTATATTGTTCTTGATTATAGTAATACCAACCTAACAGGGTTGTGTTGAAGATTAAATATGGAAATATATGTAAGGCATTTAGCATAGCATCTAGCACATAATAATTGTAAATAATAGGTAATATATTGCTAAATTGCTTTCAAATGCAGTGTGAACATAAAAAGGAAAACAATTGTGATCTAAATAACAATGATGTTTATGGTAGTGATAGAAACTTCTACTATTTATTGAGTAGCTATTTTGTGAAAGGCGTATATTTACATATATTATATCCATTAATCCTTACTACAACTGAGATTCAGTAAGTTGCCCATGGCCACTGAACTTTTTTTTCTTTTTCTTTTTTTTTCCTTTTTGTCTTTTTTCGTGACTGGTAACGGGATCGCAACCCTCGGTGTCGCGCCCGCACTGCGCTCAACCAGAGAGCGGACCAGTCTCTATATGGGATCCGAACCCTCGGCTGGTGCGCCGCTGCGCTCTCAGGCGCCGCACTCTACCGAGTGCGCCACCAGGCCGGCCCTTTTTTTTTCTTTTTTTTGAGGCTGGTGGATATGGGGGTCCGAATCCTTGAACTTGGTGTTATAACACTGAACTCTAACCGATTGAGCTTACTGGCCAATTCGCCACTGAACTCATTGGTGGCAGAAGCAGGTTTTAAACTTAAAAGTCTTTGCTTTTTCTCATATATTGCTTTGCTGCTAATATTTAAATAGGTAGTTGTCACAACTCTGTTTCCTAGAATTGACTCAGGATTTAGTTCTAATTTCCAGGGCTGAATCCTTTTATTTCTTCCTGTATTTAGTATTTATCCAGCACCTACCATGTAGCACACACCATTCTAGATGCTGATGTTGGATCCTCTTGGTGATCAGATCACCAGGAACTGAACTAAGCAAGGTTGGAAAGATTCTATAGTCTTTACTTTGAAGCAGCTCTGCTCAGATTAACTAAGTGAATGCTTATATTTGTGTTTTTATCCTCCAGTGGCCCCAGATGAGCCAGTCTCAAACATTTGGTGGATCAGGACAGATTCCTGGAATAGACATACAGCTGAGTGAGAAGTATCACACTACAAATAAGGTGAGAGTTATTAGTGTTTTCTGTTATTATAGAGTGCTTCCTCCCACATGTTCTTAATTGGATCTTAACAAAATTGTTAGCTAGTTGAGGTAAGGATTTTTAGCTAATGCAGAAGGTAAGGTTCAGGAAGGTGAAGTGATTTGCTCAAGGTCACAAGGATAGTAAGTGACATACCAACTGAATATTTGAACCTAAGCCTTCTGAGTCCGTCTTGTGATTCTTCCATTGTACTGTCTTGCCTGGAAAATACTTCAAAGTAAAAGTCTTTATCAATTTTTTGCATGTTATAAATAAAGTAAAATTTATATTACTTTAATATTTTGGGAATTTCTTATTGGTTAGATAGCCTTCCTTCATTTGAAGAGGCTTAGCATTAGAATAGATTTTCCTTGGAGTTTATTTGCAGACTACAAGACTCATATCTTCTATAGTCATTTATAAAATTTGTTATAATAAAGAATGCGAGATTTAAAAACATTTATTCATTCTGTTATTTTGGTCAGAGAACGTATTTTCTGTGATCTTAATCTTTTTAAGTGTATTAAGACTTTTTGTGGCAAAAAAACAACAAAACGTTTATTCAGTGCTTTTGGTTGATTGTGCGTTTGGATGACTTTTGAATGCTTGAATGCTTTCACATAGTATTTTTCTTTCTTTTTCCTGTTACATCAATAAACAGAACGTTCGTCTTCTCAGAATTGTTCTTTAGGAGATAGTGGTCAATATTTACTTTGAAGAGTACTCTTTCTGATAGAACTTTTATTCAAATATTTCCTAGACATGTGTTTATAGGCATATAGTCAGTGAGGTGGGTATGTCTTGCTCTGAAATTGGAGTACATCTCTTGCTAGATATAGTTCCAGATGTGTTTGCACTGAGTGATAAGATGCCTAAAAAAATGAAAGTTAAAAATTCTAGGTGAAAAAAATCTAAGCAATAAAAATCCCCTCAGACCTAATGAGGAACAAAAGCATTCTATTAAAAACATTTTTTTTGAAGCTAATTTTATTTTCCTTGTCTTTGTTTAAATAGCTTCCTGCTACTAAGGATTCCCCACAGCCTGTTGAGGAGAAGGTTGGTGCCCTCACAAAGATAATAGAAGCCATGGGATTCACAGGACCTTTGAAATACAGTAAATGGGTAAAGTCCTTTAAGTTCTTCTCACTTTTCCTTTTGGGCTTTGTGCTTTCTCCTCCTCATGAAAGATTTTTAAAAGCTTCTGCTTTGCTTTTATAAAATTCATACGTTATTTTGAGAGCTTCTTAAAAATGTTCTCCTTAACCCCACCACTGCTTCCAGGTCAGATCTATACAACATTTACGGCTGAAACACTCCTTCAACCTGATTCCTTGGAAGTATCTCACAGTAGCTGGCCTGCCAATAAGACTGAGCTGTTCAGGCCCTGGCTACATGTTGTGCCATATAGATAGATGAATTCTAAGGGGTCAGATGGACCAAATGTACTGATGGGCAGCTTTCTTAAGGAGGCATTATTTTCTTTTTTTTTTTCCTTTTTGTCTTTTTTCGTGACCGGTAACAGGATCGCAACCCTCAGTGTCGTGCCCGTACTGCGACCGGCAACGGGATCGCAACCCTCGGTGTTGTGCCCGCACTGCGCTCAACCAGTGAGCAGACCGGTCTCTATATGGGATCCGAACCCTTGGTGGGAGCGCCACCGCGCTCCCAAGCACCGCACTCTACCGAGTGCGCCACCGGGCCGGCCTGGGAGGCATTATTTTCTGATGAATTCATATCCATAAGTGATTTTCACTAGGTCATTGTAGTGACTTTCTTTAAAATTTTACTGATAAGCATCTTTTTATAAACTAAGTCTGTAGTTTATTGTAATTCTTATTGTGGAGGCATATTTGCTAGGTATATCACTCTTAGTCTGCATCAGGTACATACTGCCCCTGGGCTTTTATGACAATACCTCTAACCAATTAAAGTAATAAAACATTAGTGGTTCAGCTCTTCTTGGCCCATTTATCTGCTAGTATTATCTCTATTACTGTGGTGGAAGGGCCTTTTCATGCCTTTCAGGGTTTCTGGAATATTGGATAAGCCTACCCAGTCATAAGTTATAAATCAGAGCAAGCAAACATGAAGGAGTAAGGAAGACTTTTCTAGAAAATATAGCTTTGCTCAAAATGACCAAGTAATGCCAGTTACTCATTCGGATTCAAATGAGAATTTTAAATTTAATACAGACTTCTTTTGGTTTCTTTTTATGATGTCTGTTCTCTTCCTCACAATTCTCACTGTGGCAAATATAGGGTTTTCTCTGTTATCTCTCTTTTATATGAATTCTGAAAAGTGACCAGAGATTCCACAGCATTTTGTTTATAATGGGCTTTGAAAAGTAGACAGAGAATACAAATAATAAGTAATACTGTTGTCCTTGAGACCCTAAGGTTATGAAGTACTTTCAAAGAAATATTAGTTATGTTCTTTTAAAAGATGACCGGTAAGGGGATCTTAACCCTTGACTTGGTGTTGTCAGCACCACGCTCACCCAGTGAGCTAACCGGCCATCCCTATATGGGATCCGAACCCGGGGCCTTGGTGTTATCAGCACCGCACTCTCCCGAGTGAGCCACAGGCCAGCCCCAAAGTTATATTTTTTACATCTTAATTCTTTGACAATTGATAATTGTTGGTATATTTGGTAATGTTATTAACCAGAATCTTTCCTCCTACTTAAAAAAAAAGATATGATTATGGCATTTAGATTTAAAAACTTAAAATATGTGTTTTGTTTGAAAATTAGAAATTCAAAGAAGAGAGAAATGAGAGCAGAAATAAAGAAAATAGGGGCCGGCCCGGTGGCGCACTGGATAGTGCGCCGCCTGGGAAGCGCGGCGGCG